ATCATTTAAATACTGTAGAATACTTTATTTTTGCTTGGATTTTATTTTCGTTGAAGGGATGATTCTGTGAAAATAAAATCTAGCGAATATACTTTTTTTTCCTATATTTCACATAATACTCATCCAAAATCAGTGAAAATAAATTCCATACAAAACGCCCAAAAAGCCTTTTCAGCGAAAATTAATTCTAGCGAAAATAAAGTATTCCACAGTAGTAGTTTGTGAGATTGTTTGCTTAAATGAAAATGTTACGAACCTAGATTTAATTACTGTAGAATACTTTATTTTCGCTTGGAATTTATTTTCGCTATTTTTGCTGAAGTAATGATTCCGTGAAAATAAAATCCAACGAATATACTTTTTTCCTATATTTCACATTAAACTCATCAAAAATTCGTGAAAATAAGTTCCACACAAAACGCCCACTAAGCCTTTTCAGCGAAAATAAAGTATTCCACAGTATGTAATGTCTTAGCGCAGCAGTGAACATTCATTTGCATTTAACAATCACCCATGTTTTTTGGAAAATGTTGGCTCCTCTTTGTATTGCATCTGTCATACGAGTGTAAATAATTATTTGGCACTAATATTGAGTCGTTAAAAACTGGACTGGCATTCAACGTTTCATACGACTTTCTGCAAAAAAAAAAAACGATCTTGGGAACTTCAAAAACATTGTGCAGGCTTTATCTTTCAGCTTAGCACTGGGTCAAAATGAAAATAAAGACAAAATTCACAGCGTATTTTACTTTAAAACAATACTTCCTGGTTATATGATGGTCTACGGATACGGTGGTGTTCGATTTCAGTCATTCTGAAACTGCAAGTGATTAAGGGCGCTCGACTTATGAAAGGGGTACGCATACATCTTCGCCAGCCAAAAAGGACCATTTATTAGGCCGTGGGTCGGTTATGAATGTCCGGCTTTAGCGAAACCGTGCGATTCGCTCGGACGATGACTAATTTATTGATTACACATTTAGTAAGATAATAAACTGTTGACAGTCCCGCTGGCCTATTTTGATTAAATCAAGGCATTTAATCAAATCAGTTTAGAGGAACTATATGCAGCCTAGTAAGAGAACTGTCATGGGAAAACATTGCCCATGGTTTATCTAAGCACAGTCCCTCCACTGTGATCCAAGCTCGCTATTTAGGGGTCAAGTCAAGGTTATGCTGACATTTTGTATGACGCGTGTCCTATATTCGCGACGCTTGAAAGACGTCATATCGAGGTATCATGGCAACTTTGTATTAGGCATACGTATATTTACATAAGCGTATT